GGGTTCTGAAATGGAAGACCAGATTTTTCACATAAGTCCAAGACACACATCAAAATATTTAGAGTTGAATCTACAGACACGACCACGGCGAAGAGCAAAGAGGTCACGAGTTTCCATGGGACTGTCCCCATATTTTACTCTCCCTCTCTCCCCCTCTCTCTCTCTCTGTTCTTTTCTCTTTCTCTGTCTCTCTCTCTATGTCTCTCTGCTTTTCTGTTTCTTTCTCTATTTCTCTCTCTGCTCATCTCTCTCTCTCTGCTCTTCTGTGTTCTCTGTGTCTTCTCTCTCTCTCTCTGCTTTTGTCTCTTGCTCTTCTCTCTCTGTCTGCTCTTCTCTCTCTGCTCTTCTGTCTCTCCCTCTTTCTGCTCTTCTGTCTCTCTTTGCTCTTTTGTCTCTGTCTGCTCTTCTCTCTCTCTTCTGCTCTTCTGTCTCTCCCTCTCTGAGCTCTTCTGTCTCTTCTATCTCTCAGCTCTTCTGTCTCTGTTCTATCTCTTCTGTCTCCCTCTCTCTGCTCTTCTGTCTCTCCTGTCTCTCTCTGCTTATCTGTCTCTTCTGTCTCTTCTATCTCTCAGCTCTTCTGTCTCTGTTCTATCTCTTCTGTCTCCCTCTCTCTGCTCTTCTGTCTCTCCTGTCTCTCTCTGCTTATCTGTCGCTTCTGTCTCTTCTGTCTCTGCTCTTCTGTCCCTCTGTTTTTCTATTTCTTCTGTCTCTTCTTTCTGCTCTTCTGTCTCCTCTGTCTCTCTGCTCTTCTATCTCTTCTGTCTCTTCTCTCTCTCTGCCCTATCTCCTCTGTCTCTCTTCTCTTCTATCTTTTCTGTCTCTTTTCTCTCTCTGCTCTTCTGTCTCTCCTGTCTCTCTGTTATTCTGTCTCTTCTGTATCTGTCTCTTCTGTCTCTGTTATTCTGTCTCTTCTGTCTCTGTTCTTCTGTCTCTTCTGTCCCTCTGTTCTTCTATCTCTTCTGTCTCTCTGTTCTTCTGTCTCTGCTTTTCTGTCTCTTCTGTCTCTGTTATTTTGTCTCTTCTGTCTCTGTCTCTTCTGTCTCTGTTATTCTGTCTCTTCTGTCCCTCTGTTCTTCTATCTCTTCTGTCTCTCTGTTCTTCTGTCTCTGCTCTTCTGTCTGCACGTTCATCTCTGTCCAGCAGAGGAGCCAGTTATCGACCTGTTTGAGCCTCTTCTGCTCTCGTACCTCAGTACCTGGAGTCCAGCCAAACTCCAGCCTCCCGCTTTGTGCGAGTAAAGAGTGTTAAACTGGAGGAGGGAGACGGGGGGGGTTCGTAAATGGCTATATTTTGGCAGCCGGCCTTAATGCTCATACATATTTGAGAAGCTCTCAGTCTTTAAGCAGAAGTATGTTTCCCACTGGACAGGACCAACACTGGATGACCTCATTATGTAACTCACTAGGACCGTCTGTACGATTACTGGACTCCTCCTGTTTTCACTGTTTCCATTAATGTCACCGCTGTTTTTATAGATTTATTTATGTAAGCCTGATTGTGCTCTACATTACACATTCCGTACTGTTCTATATTTCATTTCAAGTTTGGATTTCAGAGTCAATTTCTCACACGGATCTTTCTATTAATTCAAGGAACGTCTGTCTGTGTGTTTGTTTGTTTATCTGTTCCTTGCATAACCCTTGAACTGAATTTGACTGATCTCAAATTCGGAGGGTTTCATCCTAATGAGACAGGTGTGTGCAGTACCAATTTTCATGTTGTTATGACAAAAAATGTCAAAGATCTGGTCAAATTAGTGATATATTTTAAATACTAGTTGTATCAAATAATGTCTTAATGAAGACTATGTAGGCATGAAAATATAAAGAATTTTGACTCAGAAATTGTACGATTCCGTCTAAATATTCACATTGTATTAAAGGTCCCATATGATGCCATTTTCTGATATTATAATGGTTTCTCATCACAAACAGACCTGGAGTTGTGTTTTATTTCATTCACACATTTAACACTAGGGATGTAATGATATTTGCAATATTTCCACGATATGCATCTGACGTCACAATATTTCTTATGATATTTTGTGGAGTCTACAAAATTATGAATATGCTGCTTCTCCTTTTAAAAGACCTTGACTAGTCATTGGTACTGTTATAATACAAAGAATTAAGATTTAAAAATGCTTAACAGTTATTTCTTCACATAGTCTGCACTGAAGCTGAGCAAAGAATCAGAGACTTGTAATCGATATTTTGTGTTGGGCCGCGATATTATTGAGATTTTTTGCGATACCTTATCGCAATATTTCGATTTATTGTTATATCCATGTTTAACACACAAACCCTGCATATTTAGGATGTGTTTTTCTCTCATACAGAAACTGTGTTCCACCTTGTGAAGTCATGTGGTAATACAGGAAGTGCTCCACAGTGGTTTTAAACTCCATACACCTTCACTAAAATCATTTGCATAATTTCAGAACAAAATGTAAAAGGTAGTTTTTAACTTAAACTACCACTACATGACATCACAAGGTGGAGCAGAGCATTTTGAGCTTTGAAGATGCAGACAGACTAATAATGAAGTTACTCAAACATGTGTGAATGAAACAAAACACAACTCTAGGTCTGTTTGTGAAGAGGTAACCTAGACTCAGAGTATTATCTGTTACATAAGAGTGAGTAGTTGTACAGTTGTAGGGAGTATTATCTGTTACATAAGAGTGAGTTGTTGTACAGTTGTAGGGAGTATTATCTGTTACATAAGAGTGAGTTGTTGTACAGTTGTAGGGAGTATTATCTGTTACATAAGGGTGAGTTGTTGTACAGTTGTAGGGAGTATTATCTGTACATAAGGGTGAGTTGTTGTACAGTTGTAGGGAGTATTATCTGTTACATAAGAGTGAGTTGTTGTACAGTTGTAGGGAGTATTATCTGTTACATAAGAGTGAGTTGTTGTACAGTTGTAGGGAGTATTATCTGTTACATAAGGGTGAGTTGTTGTACAGTTGTAGGGAGTATTATCTGTTACATAAGAGTGAGTTGTTGTACAGTTGTAGGGAGTATTATCTGTTACATAAGAGTGAGTTGTTGTACAGTTGTAGGGAGTATTATCTGTTACATAAGGGTGAGTTGTTGTACAGTTGTAGGGAGTATTATCTGTTATATACAGGTGAGTTGTTGTACAGTTGTAGGGAGTATTATCTGTTACATAAGGGTGAGTTGTTGTACAGTTGTAGGGAGTATTATCTGTTATATACAGGTGAGTTGTTGTACAGTTGTAGGGAGTATTATCTGTTATATACAGGTGAGTTGTTGTACAGTTGTAGGGAGTATTATCTGTTACATATGGGTGAGTTGTTGTACAGTTGTAGGGAGTATTATCTGTTACATATGGGTGAGTTGTTGTGCAGTTGTAGGGAGTATTATCTGTTACATAAGGTTGAGTTGTTGTAAAGTTGTAGGGAGTATTATTTGTTACATACAGGTGAGTTGTTGTACAGTTGTAGGGAGTATTATCTGTGGGATAAATGTGAGTTGTTGTACAGTTGTAGGGAGTATTATCTGTCACATCAGTGTGAGTTGTTGTACAGTTGTAGGGAGTATTATCTGACATAAGTGTGAGTTGTTGTACAGTTGAGTGCAGTCTAGTATGAATGTAGTCCTGTATTTTTCAGTCCTTTTAACAACATTAAAACATGACTTAAAGCTCACAAGAGTCAATTTAGTGTAATATAGGACTTTGTATATATTATTTTTTCTCAGTATCGCCCACTCTTCAGACATAATTGATGTAAAAGCAACTCTCTAACCCTCTTTACTGTAATAAGCCAGACTGAAATATAAATTATGAACTCTGAAACCATGTCAAAGTCAGCTTTACACGTGTACAGACACTCGTGTAGCAGCCTTTGTTCCTGTGCGCTCCGTTCTTCTTTGTGCGTTTGCCATGCGCACCTCCTCTTGAGCGGGCACCACTCCACTCTCCACATGTATTATTTATTGTGCCCGTCGTCTGTGAGAGGCGGAGGGGGCACGCGGAGGTCAGCACGGCAGGTCATGCGCGGGGCACTGGGTGAACACCGTACGGGCGCCGCTAAAATGTTATTGGCACGTGGTAATTAGAATGAACTTTCAACAAATGAGACGAAATGAAAAGGGGGCAGGGACCTTTAGAGAAGATTGAGGGATTAGTTGTACGCTAATGTGTGGTTTGTGGTTTTTACAGTAAATGTGCACAACAAACACAATTTTCAGTGTGTGTCTGCAATGGTGATGCTACAAAATATGAAATTTATTATGTAATTTTCCATTTTAAAGCTGCACTGTGTCACTTTTTGCTTTTGGGTCCATCGCTTGCTTGTCTTTGCTTTGCCTGGAATGTTCCGCAGTGTGACATTAAACAGTTCTACTTTACATTTATTCAATAACAGGTGGTTTTATAGCTCAAAAATGCTTAGAAAAACAACATTCTGACTGTGAATGGGGTCGCCTCTCCACAGATCTGACCTGTAACTTGGTCTGGTTGGCTCTCTATGAAGATAAAGGTTTAATGCCATACTGTGGAACATTCCAAACAAAGCAATAGCTGGAAAAGCTGAAAAAGTTACACAATACACTTTAATATTTTCTGTGAGTTGGATTATTGTGCAAAATTTACTCCCCTCATCATCCATGCCCCAAGTGTTGTTGTTTTTTTTTTTCTTTTTGTCTGAGTAATCTAGTGATCTCTCCCGGGGTGAGAGCAAAAGGAGGTGGGACTCAGAACTTCAAAAAATAAACCGAAACAAATTGGAGAATACAGCATTAACAGTAAAACAATAAAAGGTAACATGGTGATGTGTGTCTTGCCCAGTGGCACAGTGGTATCGTACTGATGTGGTGATTCGAACCCCTGATTGCACTTGTTGGTGAGTGTTCAGATCAAGAGCAGTTTGTAAATGTACAGTTCAAGTGAAAGTGTTCTGAATTGTCCAAATAGATGCTTGTAAATCAAAAGTCTTCTTGTGATTAAATGTGTCTTGTGTGTGTGTGTTGTAGTGATGAGCGGGTGGAGGTGCTGGCAGGAGGAGTTCTACAGATCTCCAACCTGACGGAGGAGGACGCTGGGGTCTACACCTGTACAGCAGAGAGCGGGAACGCCTCCATCCAGGCCCAGGCCCAGCTCACCGTGCAGGGTGAGTCTACACAAGCACCACACAACAGCACCAAACAATGAGACCACTGTATGAAGAAGAGGCTCATCATGGAGAAGTCCTGGTCTTTCAGTCAGTCTCTTGACACCCACCTTGTTCGTTGTGAAGGGCCTTGTTATTATCTAAAAATGCCCTGTAATATAGATTTTATGGTAACTTCACTTTTTATAGCAAAAGGAGAAATTCAAATTGTCGACTGGACAAAAGTTTGTTTTGGTTGAATACATTTCACGGCTCATTCAAGCTGCTGCTTCAGTTCTGGTCACACTTGTGTCCACCAGCATTTTGACCAGAACTGAAGAAGCAGCTTGAATGAGCTGCGACATGTATTAGACCAAAACAAATTGTCGACTGGACAAAAGTTAAAATTGCTCCTTTTGCCATGGATTCTACCTGGACGAATGAGGGATTTTACACACTTCACTTTCACTTTTAACAGCATGAATATAGCATAAACAAATGAACAGTTTATTAATGATTCAGGCTTAGTGACTAGTTATTACTTAAAGCCACAGCATGTAACTTTTTAGCAAAAACAAAACAAAAAACAAGTGACTTTCCATGTAAATGTTCTGTTCCATAGTATGGCATTAACTTTCTGTTTCTCTTTCGGAATCATGCAGTAGAAATGATGTACTGTACTGTGTGTTTTGCACCATTTACCATTTATGATATATATTATTTATGATGCATGGGACAGTGAAACACACAATCGATTATTTGTATGAAGAATTGACAATAAACATTTGTACTTGAACTGTACCTTTAAAACCCTGACCCTGTGTCCTTAAGAAGTCACTAAGCCTGAATCCTCAATTATTTTTATCCGTTATGACTGAAGCTTTTGTTTGTTCTTTATTATGGTTAATTAAAGTGTAGTATAACTGGATTAGCCTTTGGACTCATCCTTGAAAATGATTACACTCTGTGACCAAGTAGAGAAGCACGCGGCTTCACAATCTCTCTTTGTATTTGTAGATATGTTACAAAGTGTTGCGTAAATTGCACAGTTATATATATACAGTATGTGCAGTATCAGTAACGTCTGCGTGGCTCACTGTCTGCAGCTGAAACCATGAGAGAAATGAAACATGAGCGTGATCACATGACCTGCTCACTACTTCTGTGGTCTTTAGAGAGGTCTAAGAGAGAAAAACAAATCCGGTCTAAGTGTGGAAGTGTATGTTATTATAGTAGATTATGTTGAATTAACCGCAGTCTAAGCTTTTCTCCAGTGTTGAATTTTCTGAAAAACATGAATATATTTTCTAGCTAAATCATGTTAAAGAGCTTTGTGCCGGAGGTGGAAGTGGAGGTGGAGTTGGTGATAATGGGGGAGATTGGAACAATGACTCTTGAATGCCTTAGTATACGATCGCTCAAACATGTAAATCACTCTATACTGTGTGCCCTGTGAGCCAGAGGGGGATGGTTCTCTAAATAACGCTGAATACTGATGTTGAATTTAGGAGCAGACTCTCATTTGTCAGTTCTAAACATAGCGTGATGCTAGTAGACCCCAGCCTGCTGATGGAGCTGTGAACATGCTACTCTGCACTCTGCTCCACACGATGTTTTTTATGGAATATTAATTATCACCTTTTACAAGCCACAGCTGCTGCTCCTCTGCCTCATACTAAGAAGGCAGAGGAGTCTGAGAGGTGCTTGGAGAGCAATTCTCATTTTAGTGAAGGATTTGAGCCCAAAACACCGTCAACAAGCGCTTTAATCTGTAGCGGCGTGAGAAAGTCTGTGGCGCTGAGAGCAGGTTATGTCATTAAGTATTTCTTATGAAACACAAACTAAATCTGTCTAAACAAATGAAATGCCAATGTGAATACAGAATACACACTTGTACACACTTGTACACACTCAGTATTGTCATATACGTGCGATTTACACATTGAGCCTTTAATTGAACACTCAAAACAATGTCTGTATAACATGGAATGTAGCTCAGAAAGTTGTCATTATGTACTTAGACGATACACTTCAGCTGCATTGCCTGTGTGAGTGTTGGCTGTTGTCAGATTGGCTGCCTCGCTTTCATGAGTCAGCCCCAGGGCAGCTGCGGCTGCAACAGCTACCAGTTTACCACCGTTGAGTGTGAATGAAGAATGCACTGAATTATAAAGTGACACTGTCCGTAAAAGCTCTGTATAATACTAATGCGTTCTTCTTCTTCTTCTCCACCTTTGTTGAGCTCTGATCGTGCCCTGACACTTGGGCTCTGTCTGTGATACACTGTAACGTTCAGTGAAACTATCGTTGAACATGCCATCAAAGCTGCTCCCACAATGTTCACAGGAGTTCTTACTGTGAGGCTATGAATATTATTTAATAATCCATGGCAGTATCCCACTGAAAATACAGCTCCCCATGAAGCGTAATCACATTTCTTTATAGCCTCTTCTTCTGCGGCTTTATCAAGTGTATTACACTTTCATCTCCATGGTTACACTGCTCCAAAGAGCTACAGTGAAGTTTTATCCAACACTCAATGTTCATTTAAACTCTGCACTTGACTGTTGTTTTCATCAGCCAACAGTGTGCTTTATGGGACATGTGATGGTGTCTGTGCTTGTGTCTGAAGGCTCCTCTCGCATATAATCCCTTTAAAATGCATGATATCATTCGATTGTCTAGTATTGTTTATTATTGTGTATCTATAGTCTATTTTTATTGCATCGTCTAAAACAAAGTCAGGTACAGAGCCTCTAACCCAGGCCCAGGCACACACACACACAGACACACCCCAAAGCACACACACACATACCTCTCCTGCCTCCTCAGGCCCATGAGTGTTCCTCATCTTTATCATCTTTGCACTACAATAACATAACACAGCCTAATTGTGTTTGACTGGGGCAGATTAATAACCACACACTATCACAGCATTGATCTGACTGTGTAACAAGTGTGTGTGTGTGTGTGTGTGTGCGTAAAGGTCAGCGAGCCCCCGTCCAGGTAACGCCGTAAAGAGAACATGGTCGATAAACGCTGGATCCATACGGACAGCAGAGGCCATTTTCCTCTCCCCGCCTCTGTGTAAAGTGCCCAGGAGCCATTGTTTCTGCTGTAACCAGGAAATGCGGCGTTTACGAGCGCGCCCTTTCCTAAACACTGCACTTTATGCTCTGGAAGTGTGCGAGGAGGAGCCGCGGTGGAGGCTGCAGAGGGGAGCTGCAATCGAATGTTCCAAGTTAACTGTCCGTCTTCGTCTAATGAATCTGGTTAATTGGGTAATAATAACAAGTCACTTTACTATAACGTGCAGTTTGTGTTCTTCAGTCGGGTGATGGTGGATACTTTTAAAGGGCCCATATTATATAGTATTTTCTATATGATTATAATGTTGTTTCTTTATCACAAACATATACCTGGAGTGGTTCTGTTTTGGATCATTTTAGTCCTGTATTTCCAATCTCTACTAAACTAAAGGTAAAAAGGAGCTGTTGAAAACTACCGCTTCATGACATCACAAGGTAGATCAAGGCATTCTGAGCTTTGGAGATGTAGACAGACTAATAACTCAAACGTGTGTGAATGAAACAGTGTTGTAATCAAGACCAAGACCCGTCCGAGACCACAGGGTCCCGAGACAAGGACAAGACCAAGGTCTCTCAGAGTCAAGACTGAGACAAGACCGAGACTTTTAAAAGCCAAGATGAGACAAGACAGAGACCTCAGCCCATCGAGACCAAATTGAGACCAAATCGAGACCATCTTTGTTATTTTCATCATTTATTTGTGTTTTACTGTTAGTTTGGCACATAGACAAGAGAAGACTGAGTCCATTCACTTTCAAGATCGACACAAGAACATGTCCAAGCGAGTCCGAGTCCAACGCCTTCAAGACTGAGACAAGACCAATTCCAAGCGTCTTCAAGACCAAGACAAGAGTCAAGAGTCCAAACATGGCAGAGTCCAAGACGAGACCAAGACCACAAAAAACAGTCTTCAGGCCAGTCTCGAGACCAAGATCAGTCTCAAGTACTACAACACTAGAAATAAAACACAACTCCAGTTCTGTTTTTGAGGAGGAAACAACATTTTAACATGGCTTAAATGTCACAAAAGTCCATTTTGTGTAATATAGGACCTTTAAGCTGCAGGCACCTTTGGGCAGAATTTTGTAAGCCGAAGCATCGTCCGACCACCTTCAATCATGCACTCATACTAAAGTCCAAAAATAGTCCTAAAATAGTCAGATAACTAAATAATTAGATCTGATTGTTGGAGCATGTTTACATTAGAATTTGCCCGGTTTTGGCTGCAACTGACTTCCCCCCTGAGTTCAGGGAAGTGTGACCCGACTTTGTGTCTTTGTGTGCGATTGTGAAGCCTTTGTCTTTTTCAATATTTTTTGTCTTCACCACATTCGTTTACCCTTTTTTGCCTAATTGTCCTTGTCTGATAACACCTGAAATCAGATAATGTTCAGATTTATGGTTTGCACGTAAACATAGAAATTGGCAATGTAGGTGTTTTGTCCCAGAACATAAAAGAATGATTTATTCAGGGCTGCAGTCAAACCGGCGACCTTCAGGTGTGTGGACAGTGACTCTGAAAACTCTCTTGAATTTCCTGTAGTCTGAATTTCTCTGATAAAAACCTGTCTTCACATTCTTTGAACACTTGGTTTAGGTGTGTTACTCTGTTTACATGCTCACTGATAATCTGATTTCTAGAGTTATCAGATTATTGAAATACTTTGTAAACTCTTCCATCTGATGTGGGTAATCTGATTTCCTTCTGATTGTTCACACCTCTGCAGGTTTTGACAAGGAAAATTATGCATAAAAAAGGGCAGATTAATCTGACAAAGACAAAAATGAAAGACAAAATGTTGGATTGAAGGTTTTTTTTGTACTTTCTCCTCCAAATACAACAGTTTCTCTAAAAATCCATGGACTAACTGACACATGTCACAGATGTTTTTGATAATCAGATTGGTCTTGCGCTGTAAACACGCAACAAAA